TGTTTGCTTGGGTGGTCTGCGTTCAGTCAGGGAGCATCTCTTAGGTGATGTGTTCTGTCCCAGCCTAGAGGCACAAAGATCAGCTGGGAAAAGTAATATCAGAGATGGTAGTTGTGGGGAAAGGTGGGAGGCAGGGGAGAAGGAAAGGCTCTTCCTTTGCTTTACCTACAATCTCCACCCCGTTTCTTTGTAAAAACTAATCAGAACCTACAAGCAGAGGCACAAGACTATCTTGGTTACTTGTGTCATTGCTGAGACAGGATACCCGATGCTGGAAGTTAAGGCAGAAAGAGTTTTTTCATGGAACTTTCTGTCTGTGGTTGGCGTGGTAGAGGAGCCTCACAGAGGAGAAAGAGTCCATGGCAGGCAGAAGGCAGCCACGCAGCGCAGTGGCCCCGAGCGGCCGCTGGGGTCTGTACAGGCCGGCGCTCCCCACTCTCCACACCCAGGACTGTGCCAAGACTGGTCATGGACTCGTTAGGCACACAGCCTCCACCCCAGCACCACCCAGCCTGCGTGCAGCCACCCTGAGAAGCCCACTGTTGGCCGTGGGAGGCTTTGGGGGGACAGATCGCTGGAGCCGTAATGACCACTTCACCTCTCACTCGCTCCCTCTTCCTGGCCACAGCTCAGGTATTCTTTGACGGTAGCAAAGGCAGAAGTATGTTTTCAGATGTGTACGTTTTGTTTACCATTAGCTTGTGTTTCAGTGCCACTTGGTACCATACCTGTACCTAAACTTACATGTGCCAAGTGACTTGAGAGTCACTGTGAGGGAGGGAAGGTTGATATTTGTTCCCTTCTCAGGGCTCTCAGTTTGTGGCTGCCTGAGTCTATGCCTTTTAGATTGCAACATGGCAGGAATATGGGGACGGCTGTGGTGGGGGAGGCTGCACACCTCATGCTGGCCAGGAGGCAGAGAGAGACAGAGAGGAATGGCCGGGGCCGAGGCACGGTCCCCAGTGTCACCTCTAGGACCTGCTCCTTTGCTAGGCCCGCCTCGCAGGTTTCCAGCAGTTCCCAGCGGTGCCACCAAAGCTTGAATCAAGGGCTGGGAAGTTGCTTAGTGGTGCAGTGTGCCTGGTATGGGAGGCGCTGGCTTGGGTCCCCAGCACTGCTTTAAAGGAGAAACTATGAATCTGTGAATGGGTCGATCCGCTGAGGAAGCCAGAGCCCTCGTGCTCACTCCTGTCTGAAGCCTCAAGGTCCAAGCGTTAACAGTCGTCTTCTGATAGTGTAATGAATACTTGGATAATCACCTTTTAAAGAGATGAGCTTCATTTTGCCTCATGGTTTGGAGGTTCGGTCCATGTCTGTCTGTCCTCTTGGTTTTGGTCTGTGGAGAGGCAGTGCATGGTGGTGAGGAGCTCATGGTGGGGCAGAGCTGCTCGCCTCCCAGCGGGTGTGAAGTGGGGAATGTGCCGGGGTCTCATGGTGCCCCTGAGGGCCCGCTCCCAGGGAGCAGCAGACCTTCCGCAACCTCTGCTCTTTCTGACTCCCACCGTGTCCCAGTAGCAACACAGGCTGAGCACCAGGCCTCCACACACGTGCCTTGGAGAACGCACACACAGACCACAGCAGCCCCTCTCTTCTGGTGGGTAGACGCACATACTAGCCATCCGCTTCTTGCCGTCTTGTCATGGTTCAGACTCATCATGCGAGAAGGTTTAGGTAAACCATGTTGGGAACTGTGTGAGTGCAGTACTGTCACTAAACAAGGGGAGGAGGCAGCGAGCCCCTTAGGAGTGGGAGAAGGCAGAACCGCTCAAGAACTGACATTATTTCTGTGCCTCAAAACACATCGCTCCGTCTCCCGCCCTGGGTGACACTCTGGTCAGTGCCCTGCTCCCCACTGGGGACCCTCCAGCCTGTGCTGGGCCAGCTCAGTTGCTGTCCTGGTCTATGCCATGCGGGGCCAGAAACCTGAGCTCCTGCTCCTGCTCTCTGCTCAGCTCCCGGCTGCAGATCTCAGTTGGGCACTGAGTGCTGCGTACGCTCCTACCCCGTGCGTTTGCTTTCTGCTCTTCCCAGGAGTTTTCTTCTGCCCTCCGCACAGTGAGCCTTTTCAGGGAGGAGTGTTGGGTCCCAGCTACAGCAGCAATTAAAGATTCTGAGTTGTGGAGCATGCTGCCATTTTGCACTAGAGGTGCTTAATCTGTCTGTATTCATTTTAAAATCTGATTTATAGTAAATACAAATTATTCATCCAAATGCATCTGTGTGTAGAAGGAGCCCTGTCGGACACTAACCTGCATCATTTAGGCATTTACAGAGGTTTTGTACTTTTATTTCCTTAAGGTTAAAAGGAATGTCAAACGTAACAGATTTGTCTGCTCTAGTTGCGTGAGTGTGTGCATGTTGGGCTGATTATAGATAATGAGATGTCTGTTTCTGCAGAAAATTTTGAATAATTATCTCTAGAGTTTAGGAAGCTGCACAGCTTCCTTGTTCTTACATATTAACCCTACACTAACTGGCCCACTAAGATGAGTGAGTGATACTCCAGAGTTGCAGCTGTTATTTAAAGGAGTAGGCGTTGAAAGCTAAATGGATTCTTTTCTGTGTTAGTGTCTTAAATTGGGCAAGGAAGCTCTGCTTCTGCTAATGAAAGCTTTAATAATCTGCGTGAAACATCTGTTCAAGTGAATTTAAGGAAATTGTATTTTATAAAATTGTTTTAACTAGCATTGCTTTATCTGTGTTCTCACTTGTTAGAAAACTTTGGTTAGTAAATTACAGTTTGCCTGAAGTTACCTACTTACAATCAACAACATTCTTTACTTATTAAAAGGCAAATTCTCTATGGATGTTTTCAGCAGCAGAAGCATTTAAAATAGGTTTACTCTATACATACTGCTTGCCATGTCTGACCAAACAGACTGTCAGATATCAAGGGTGACAGCTGTGAGGCAAGATATGATTGTCAAAGGAGTCTGTTTTCACCTTAGTAATCTTTGCTTGTAACTCCTAGCAAGATAATAATTTTATTTATTTATGTATTTATTTATTTATTTAGAGATGAGGTCTCACAGTGATTCTCCTGCCTCAGCCTCCCAAGTACTAGGATTATAGGCCACTGTGCCCAACAGTGTTTTTATTCTTAAGTCTTTTGAAGTTTGGTGTTAAACATGTATGTTTTTGTATTTAAAGAAATAGAAGAAGCTAAGTAGACTAGACAGGCCATGGGATAGGCTTTTCATGGCAACCATAGGGTACTGCTGCTCCTTTGTTCAGTCCAGGTTATTAGAGGCGTCATATTTCCTTGTTGTAGTGGCTGTTGTAATGAGAGAAAAGAAGGGCAACTTCATAATTTGATAACATTGAATATTTGATGTTACGGTATTAGACTGTGGCACATGCAGCAGGGCAAGGCGGTCTGTCCCTTGGCCCTGTCTCTTCCTGCTTCATTAGCTAAGGCATTTATAATCTTCCTTTCGAGTCAGGAACTGAGTACCTGTCTTGTCAGCTGTCATAATACGGCATTATTGAGCAGCCCAGTAGTAGACAGGATTTAATGGCCTGAAGTAGTTATTGTTTGAAATAGGCTTTAGTTTTCAGTTTAATGGAAATATCATATCATTGATCTTAAATGTATAATAGAATAAAACATTATACTTAGGCATATAAAGTATTACACAAAGTTCAGAAAAGCTGAAATGGGTGTTTCCCTAACATGAAGATATATACTTAACACCTTTTATTAAAAAAAAAAAAAAAAAGAGATGGATATGTGTCCTTCCAAATGACACGTGAGCCAGGCCAGGTGGCACACACACCTGCAGTGCCAGCCCACTGGGAGACTGTGGCAGAAAACCAAGAAGGTCAGTGGTTGCCTCGGCAACTTAGAAGATGGAATGGGAGGATTACACGTCTGTGTGGCAGCAAAGCGAAATCCCAGCAACTAAGTTCTCAATTCTTTGAGTATAGAAATGGTTTCTAGGAATAGTGTGAGGATTGTTGAATGAATGTTTTATTTTCTTAGAGACATGGACTTTAGATGTGAGAATATGGTATTTGTTGTGTCGTATATAATATTTTTTTAAAAGTGTTTGGAATACACAACTGGGACGTGGGCTCCTGAGAACTAGAAAAATACTGTATTAAAAAAGTAATAACTTATGGAGGGTCAAGAGGAAAAGATGCTGCATTAGTCAGTTTTCTTGCTGCTGGGACAAAACTTCATGCCCATAGTAACAGAGGAGCGGTGTCATTTGGGCCAGTGCTTTGGCGGGTTTGGTCTGTGGTCAGCTAGTTGGGGGCTCTGCCCACCTCTGACCAGGCAGCCCTGGACACATCTACCAATCAGTCCTCCTGGGAGCTGCACCCCAAAAGCCCATCACGTTCCCAGAGCCCCAGCCCTGAACCCAGCCGTGGTTGGTACTTGACATGTGCAGCGGTCTGAACCTACAGCTGGTGCTTTCCTTAGGCTCCAATTGCTGATCTTTCTTCTGCAGCTTTTAAAGTAAATAATCAAACTTCCTAACTTTTTAAAGCTAAAAGGGACATTTTAGGTGCAGACCACAGCACATATCGAGTACCATCTCACTGGGTTTTTCTTGGGACTACCAATACATTCATGAAGACTCCGAGGCCTTCCTGCCTTCACAAACAGGAGTCCACTGACGTTAGCTAGGAAAGGAGGAGTGCGTTTTTTCCTGCAGTGTAGTTTCACATGCAGTGTGTCACAGGTGAGAACAGCAAAGAGCTGAGCTCACGTGTCCTCGGTTGGGGTTCCAGTGAAGGTGTCACTGCAGCGCAGGGGCGGTGCTTGGGGCTGCCACTGTAGCTGTGCTGGGAGTGCGTGCCCCACGGGCACGGGGCCCTTAGTTCCAGCACCCCAGAAAAGTCCATGCTTATTTTTCATGTAATAGTAAATGCTCGAGCCTTCATCTCACTGTGTTCCCTAAGTGTTGTTATACTACCTATATGCATAGTTAATTTAGGCTTAAATATTTATTTGATTTAAAAAGTTAATAAATTTTGTTTATTCATTTTAAAAGCTACAGAAGAAAGAAGATCAGCAGTTGGAGCCTAAGAAAAGTACGAGCCCTAAAGCAGTGGCAGAGCCTACTGTGGATCTCCTCGGACTCGGTGAGTAATGAGGAGCGCCTTCCCTGAGCTGGGACTCGGGCTGCGCCTTCCTTGACGTGACTGAGAGGGCTTCCTCATGCCGAGGACGCCTGTCAGCGCATGCGAGGGTGGTGCGACTGGCGTGCTGAGAGCCCGCCCAGAGGACATCGCTGATGAGGGAGCCGGACGGGTCAGTGCTGTCTTCACTGAAGTACACGTAATGAGTTCCGTGGGGACAGAGATATCAGAGTAACCTGTGAAGGCCTGGACCGTGTGACATTTCAGCATTTAAATAAGTACTCTCTGGTTCTTGCCCCCATGCTTGCACTTTTCCTCAGTTGTTTTAGTTTTGGGAGGAATTTTTCCCTTTAGGAAAATAGTTTTGGGTGGCCTTATTATAAAATGTGAAGGTTTAAAGTGTAACATTGATGTAAGCAGTACATTTGACATCCACGTCTTGTGGCCACGTTCATATGACGCAGCCGTGACAGAAGAAGTGCCCCTTGTAGCAGTGGCCTGTCCTTGGGGCCGAGGACCTGTGGTCTGTGCGGTAGGAAAGCAGGCCTTCTTCTAGGGGAGCTCGTGCACAAATGTGCTCAGCTCCTTCTTATATTTTCTTTTCCTTCTAAAAAATTTGGCTTAATAAATGGTTATTTTTATTAATATTTGAGTCTTACAGCAGTGATTAACAGAAAACCTTTTTTAGTTTTAAGAAAGACTGACAACAGCAAGAAACGAAAGGCAGTTTGTTAAGGGGTAGTTGAATTTCATATACTGCTTCTCAAAGTTCTGATTTCGGTTCTTCATGAGTAAATTGTCTTCTGTTTTAAAAATTAAAGCTGAATGTGTTGCTTTTCTTAGGAAGCAGGCATGTCAGAGAAATGCGTTCCCTGAAGGTACACTTCTGTGATGGTGAAAAGCAGCATGCAAGCAATTCATTTTTTACAAGTTATGATTTTGAAAACAGGGCTTCCTCCCAAGAGCTCTAAATGTGACTGTGCTCAATTCTGGACCTCCTAATCTCTGTATTTTATTTCCTTTGTCGTAAATGTAAGGAAAGAAAAAAAGGTTTATTATAAAGTGAGGAAGTGTTTGTGCTCAGTCTTTGTCTTCCCGGCAGTGTTTCTGGCCCAGTCCAGGAAGTGCTGGGTTCCTTAGTTATAAACTAGAAATGTGAGATGTAGCCCAGACCGGGCTCTTACCTCAGTGTTCATTTATTGAGTCACAAGTACTGTGTTAGTGGCTTGCACATGTCAGAGACCATGGAGGCACTGAGAAGGTGATTCTGAAAGAAAACACTGGTGTCTCTGTCTCCTGGGAGCTTTCTGTCTGAGGAGACAATCAATAAATAGGTACATATGCTAGGGTATCTGTGGTAAGTGTCAGAGATAAGCAGAGTATGCAGGGAGGGTTGTGGAGGGTCATGGGATCCAGGCCTGAAGAAGGTGCGGCTGTCTGGTTTCATGAGGAGCAGCTCAGATGGAGTGTGGCTGGTGGCTGTGACCCAGAGAGAAGCGACAGAGACAAAGATGTAGATGCAAGGGGAGGAGGGGCAGAGTGTGACAGGACCTGGGCTTCTACTTTGAGTGCATGTTGATGACATTTGTAAAAATGTAACAACCGATTTTAGCACTTAAAGAACTACTACAGCTACATGTTGAGAATACATTGTGTAGAGTGAGACCAGAGGCAGAAAGATTGGTTGGTTACAGCAGCTTGAGTGACAGGTGGGAGAGACAGGATGAAGGGGAGAGCGGCCCTGACCCGGCCTGGCCAGTCATGCTGCTGGGGAAGCGTACAGAAAGTCTGGGGCCAGAGCCGGAGCTGTGCCTGGGCCATAGTAAAAATCCTTAATTTCAATTAATAATGCATAAATAAGATGCTTATTAGACCACAAAGGTTCCAAAGGAAATCTCTTGTATGTGACATGTATAGTGAGCTTAGGGGGAGGCGTGGAATATCGGACTGGAGGGCATCAGCACGTAGCTGTTGCTTGGTTATCAAGCTCATGAGGGGGTTTGAGTGCTGTACCTGTTGCCACTCGGGTGTGCAGCGCCCTGGGGCAGGCGGAAACCTGTGGGGGGAACAGACAGACAGTGCAGGGCTGAGCCGGGCACCACGTCTGGTGGTGGTACAATTTCTGCCCAGGTGCCCTAGAGGATGCTGTGGTGATAAGCTCCCTGAGAGTGTGAGGAGTTTGCAGAAGGAAGGTTAAGTTTTTGCTCATGCAGTGTCCTCTGAGCTTAATCATGCTCTTTTTCGTGCCTGTATACTTCAAACGGCAGGTTAACAGAGCATCCTGTATCTAGAACACGAGTTGGCAGCCCTTCTATTTTAAATTAAAAGACAGGCCAGAAATACGTTAGATTTTGTGGGCCTTGAAGTCTGTGCCATAACTACTGAGCTAAAGATAATATGTAAATCAGTGGACTGAACTGTGCTCCATAAGTCTACAAACAATACAAAAGGCCAGGTGTGACCTGCAGGCCGCAGGGTGCCAGTGCCTGATCTTGGACCATCGCTGGCTGGCCAGCACAGAGCAAATCACATGTCACTTCTGGAAGCTTGTGTTCTGAAGCCGTGGCTATCATTTCTGCTCATATCTAATTGGTGACACTTTCGTAGGACCGTGCTTTCCCTGAGCAGGGATGGTCCAGCACAGGGAGATTCCATCCACTGTGTGGACTAAGTCAAGGAAGCAAGCGCTGTGGAGAGGCCGGAGCACAGCACTGTCTTACATCTCACCGATCAAACAGAGGCATGTTGAGAAATGATCACTAGAGTCAGCAGCCAGACATGGCAAGAGTTGGGTTGAGATGCAAGCATGAACATGATTCTTGTGAGTTCAAAAGAGAACCAGAGTGAAAAAGTGAATGGCTATATGTGTGAGCTCGTGTGTGCTTACGTTCCTTTTGCCATAAATGTAGCAGTGCCAGGAGAAGTGGATGGGCAAGGAAAGGGCATGACCTTGAAGGGCAGGTGGACTGATGATGCAGGACAGGGGCACGTGTGTAGCAGCGTCCTCTGATAGCCAAGAGCAGACAGAGTCTGGGAGAGAAGCGGGTCAGCTGGCATTTGTGACCATTAGCTGCTGGCGCCCGAAGCCACGTAGTAAGTGCCCGAGACAGCAGCCTTTGCCAGCAATAACACTTACTTCCTTTGCCCTCTGCTCTGTGTGTCAGTGGGGCCGTTTACCGCAGCACCATTTGATGTGGGTCTCGGCTTCTAGGGTGCTTCCCAGCGGTCTCAACAGTACATACTGCATCACAGAGTTCAAATTCCTGGGAGAATTCCATCACTGTCTCAAAGTCAGTACTTCAGATTTTAATTAGATTTTCAGCAGTGCCATTGCTGTACGTGCTGCATAGGAATCCTCTGCAGTCAGTGCTTCTGTCAGTGAGTAACTTTCCTGTCTCTCACGGGTCTGGGGTGTCCTGGGATAGCTTTGAGACAGCAGGACAGGGAGCTATCCACACTGGGAGAGCACAGGAAACATTGTCTTGAAGGAGGAGTCGGGGCTCAGCCAGGGCAAAGGCAGTGTGGAGAAGAGGGTGAGGATACCCAGCGAGGTTTAGGTCACACCGTGGGAGAGGTGGAGGCAGGAAGAAGGCTTCTAGCTGATCATTTTAGCAGCAGGGAAAGGGCAGCATCAGGTCCAGAGCACGTGGGAGCTCAATCCTTTTTTATAGTATTTCAAGACTTAAAAAATATATCAAGCGTAAGAGTTGATGAGTTCATGAAGTCCATGAGACACTACAGGGAACTGAAGATCCATTTCAGCGTGGGACAGACATCTTAATCTGGATGGACTATTGGTTATTGGTCCCTAATTCATGATCCAGATCATAGCTCCAGATTGCTGGGCTGCCCTGGGCCGCAGACTCACTTCTGCTCAGGCATGTTGCCCTGTGGACTTCTAGTTTTCTTCTGCAAAATGAAATGCAGTGACATTTGGGGTAGATGCCGTGGAGTGTGATTGCATCATGCAGAAATGGTGTGTTGTTTGTCTCCATGCAGATGAAACCACGCTCCTTATTTACGGAACAGTGTTTAATTTGTGTCTTATTTATTTCATTAAGGATCATGGACTTGCGGTGCATCCATTTACCTAAAAGCAGCTCACGTTTATCTTTCTTTGTGGTGGGGTAGAACTGCACCCACACTTACTTCCCTCACCTGCAGGTGGGCACCCAAGAATCAGCTGTTGTAGACTGTGCTGCTGTATCGTTATGGTGATCACCTGGCTCCAGCTGTTTCATTTGAATAAGCTTTATTACTCCTCAATTTGAAAAATACTTCGGGGAAATGTCTTTTCCCGTCTTGGTATTCGGCTGCTTTTGTGGCCTCTGAGCTTTCATTCAGTCAGCAAGGGCAGTGCTCTCAGTGGGCCTTGATCAGAGGAGCACGGTAGGCACCCAGTGCGTGAAACAGTCTCCCTGTGGGCTGGCCTGTCCCATTTTTCTCCTCAGTTTACTTCTTGGGACAGTGTTCCTCCCTGTAACTGGAGGAGCTAGCCTTGGTTCAGAACCAGCAGAGCAGAGATGATGAGCGTAGGGGGATGTTTGGACTGTTTATGTCCCTGCTTCTCAATCTTTGCACCAGTAGTTATAAGTTATGCAGAAGTTTGACTTTGGGGAATTTTAAGTAACTTGCTTGAGTTTCCCAGAGAGACATAAAAGGAACATGTCTTTCTGAGCTGAGGGAAGCCACAAACGAGGCCTTAGGTCACTCACAGAACAGTGATGACAACCTGCAGCGCTGCCGCCTCCAAGCCCTTTGCTGCGCTCCTGGTGTTGCAGGGCCCTCTAACCAAAGCAGCAGAGCAGAGCAGGGCCAGGGCAGAGAGAGAGGCTGTGTCCCCTCCACTCCCCTCCAGCCCCCTGCTCAGCAGCACGCACTGGGTCCAGTCTGGTGGTGCTGAGGAGCTGCGTCCCGAGTTGTGTAGCTGGGCCCTGTGACCCGAATGCTGTGGCTGGCACCAGGCAGGGCCCTGGCCAGATGTGTGCATTCGGCCCGGTTTCCATTAGGCTTCTTTGTAATTAGGCAGCTTTTAGGGAATGAAGTACAGTTTAAAGAAAAGAGCACTCCCTGACCGGGCATGAAGGCTTTTGTTCTTGGCCTGGTTTCTGGAACTGGGGGCAGTGGCAGATGTTTGTCTGATCTTTTATGTGAACAAAAACAGTACCATGTAAGTGTTCTTTAAAAGCATCCAGGATAAAGGTGATGCATATAATGATGGTAATGAACTGTCCTTATCTGTCCTTTTTAAATCCTGAAAATAAAAAGTCACCTTCAAAATGAGTTGAAGCAGTACTTTTTAAGATGTGTGTGTATGGGGGCCAGGGAGATGGCTTAGTGGAATAAGCGCTTCCCTGGCAAGCTCAAGGGTCTGAGTTCAATCCCCAGTTCCACTAAAAAAATGAAATAAAATTTTAAAAAAGATGTGTGTGTAGGGAGCTAAGTGTAGGTAAAACTGGTAAACCTTGAGACCCTCTGGGAACTTGTATTTATGAGTGTCATTTAGGTTAAGAATTGGGTCTTCACAAACCGCCGAGTGTGTAGCTTTTGTGGCAGCAAGGAAGCGCGATGGGCATGCCACCCAGACCCCATGAGGGCTCCCTGGGGTGGGGAGAGGTGGGCGCCCAGGTGGCAGGGAGGTCCAGGGAGCCAGGGAGCCCCCTTCCCACCGCAGCAGCCTTTCTTGGTGTTTCATACCCAGTGCTAGAATCGCGCGGCACCACAGTCGTGGAGTAGTCGTGCTTGTAGGCATGCACATCACCTTTCAGTTGCATTATTAGGTCATGGTTCTGTTTCAAGGGAGAGAGGCCCTTGCCTGGGCTTCTAGAGACCACCTTCCCCGAGCAAATGAAAATAGTGCCGGCTCTAGTGCTGGCCTTCCCTGGAGACTGCTCCTGAGCTGGTGGCCTCCTGTCTCATCACAAGGGGTGAGAACCCCTCAGCTTCCTAGGAGCTGTCAGGTGTGGCAGTGGCAGGAACCTGGACTGGGGGTTCCCAGGCCCAGTGTTACTGGTGTGGCTTCCAGAGACTATTTTGACATGCTATTAAAAAAAATGAGATAATAGACTTCAGTATGGTGGTTAAAACAGAAGTCACGTTTCCCAGGGAAAAGGCCGAGCATTTCTTGGTGTATCATACCCAGTGCTAGAATCGCGTGGCACCACAATCGCGGAGTAGTCATGCTTGTAGGCATGCATGTCACCTTTCAGTTGCATTATTAGGTCGTGGTTCTGTTTCAAGCTACAGCTTGAACCCAGGCAAGCCCTTGCTCAGTGATGTGCAGGCGAGGCCATTGCTCTTGGGCTGGCTGTCTGGGGTGTAGCTGAGCACACTGCGCTGCCCACCCACGCGGTGGCCGTGTGGCACCCTCCATCCGCCTTGCGTGTTGTGCGTTTTTAGTGGTTTGGAAGTTTTGTGTATTTATTGTATTAATGCAGAGTGTCACTAAATAAAGTAGTTTATTGGAAGAAAAACATGACCGTGAGCTGTATAAAATTTACATTAAGCAATGCAGATGTTCAGTTGATATTGTCATAGCAAAAATCAGAAATCTGTATTCATGCCCACAAAATAGTTATTGCAGGGCTGTGCAGATCTCTCCCCCTCACCACCTGCACCCGTGCAACTCTAAGTAAAGCTATTTTGTGTGTTCATATATAGTGTTTGAAAATTGTGATGAGATATGTAGCATTAAATTTACCATTTAAACTGTTTGGAGGGTGCAGTGTAATGAAGTCCATTCCTGTCGTTGTACAGATGTCAGCACTGGGCATGACAGAGAGGGCACTGGGCGTCTTCCTTGACTGGAGTCCTTCACGAAAACATGTTGCTGTTTTTGTCATAAAATTGAGATCACTTTCAAGGCATTTCTTCAGGTATCTTGGATACTTGTCTCTCATTGCTGGGAAAAACCTGACACCCAGAATTAAAGAAGGAAAGGTTAGTCAGCTCATAGTGGTGGAGGCCACAGCCCATAATCAGCGGGGCGCCAGGACGGAGCGGCACATGGCAGAGGGCAGCCATTCATGGCCGTGGAAGGCGATGAAAAGGGAGGTGCAGCTGCAGAGAGCCAGCCTTGCCCCCCTGTGTTGCGCTCAGCCTGCCTGCCCCGGGGATGGTGCTCCCGCCCGTGGTCCCGGCACTGGGTCATGAGTTAGTCACAGACTCGAGAAGTCTGCCCTGTGATTGCATGAGGCTTTAGGGGGACAACTAGGCCCAAACTGCAGCACTGGGCCTGGGACACTGACATGTTAGCAGTCGCAGTGGCTACTCTGAACGGCGAAACTAAAATCAGACTTTACAAACCTAAGAATTCTTTGTACTAATTCTTTGTAGATCGAGGTACTAGTAGATAACCAGGTCAGAGTCAGATCTGGAAATATAAATATTTAAGGTGGAGTATAATATACTATTTGCAGGCAACTTAGATTTCTCAAAGATGCCAGTTTGTAGATGTAATGAAAAAATACATTTGCATAGTAGTGGCAGAACCTCGAGCCCTTTTGCTGAGTCCTGCACAGTGGTGTCCTGTGAAACAGCTGCATCCTGGGCTGCAGTTGGTTGTGTTTGCTTCATCTACGGCCCCAGAAGACCCGGGGGGGGGGGGGAGTAATTGCTTATAGTCACCAGGTCATTCTCTTTCTAGCTTTTCTTTCCTTCGGTTATAGTTTCCTTTTAGAGAATACAGTTCACTTTGTGAGATTATATAATAGTTTTATTGATAGTTTTTTTAAAAGTAGTTTTAGTTAGGTATATTTCCTGCTAAAATGTGCTTTCTTGTCCATATCCTGAGGCTGTTCCTCCGTCGCACGCCCTGCTATCCGTTAAAGCACCTCTGGCTGACAGGTCATGATGATTTGTTTCTTTACTGAAATGTTATAGACATCACAAGGAAGGTGTGCCTTTAGTTAAAAAATAAATGTTGCTATCTGGAAAAGCTAGAAATGAAAAAATAAATACCTTTATGGATGAGTCATCTTTTAATTGTCATTGATAGCTGTGTCTGCTTAAAATTGTGTCACTAAGTACAGGCTGTGCATCACTTCATTGCGCGAGCTGGCACTGTCTGTAGCACGTACGCGGGTGCACCACGCGTAAGACATGACTCTGATGTGCTTGTCACTGAAGATGGAATATACCTGCAGTTGTTATTCTTCAGATTAACTTGGTAGAGATTTCAAAAGCCTTTCTATAAATTAAATAGTAAAAATATTTTCATGTAACCTTTTACTGATGCTAATCACTATAATTCACTGAAGTTTAAGTAGGGAAGTAAAATTCCAATTTCTGTAGTTATACTTGGAAAAAAAGAAGAGAGACCATTGAATTTCTGTGGGTTGTGGTGGAAATAATGTAGGCGGTGGAAGAGCTGTCATTCGTGAGTTCGTCAAATATTTGCATGTGCACTTTGCACAAAGCATCCTGCTTAATGTTTTGAAGGCTTGTAAGGCGATTTGTCTTTGCGGAGCCTGTGGTTGTACATCACTCAGCTGGACGACTGGTCAGCGTCCAAGATGTAAGAGCCTGGAACTCTAAACTTCCCTGGTTGTGGCCAAAGACACCGAAGTGTGAGGGCTGCTCCAGCCCCAGCGGTTGCTTGGGAACCCTGCCCCGCACACCTCAGGATTATTTATTTGCTAACATGGAAAAGACATGTAGTGTTCTTTTCAAAATGGACATTTTATAACAATTTTTATTTGAGCTTTTCAGAAGGAAACTGTGCCACAGTCCCTTTCCATAGTTGCTCAGTGTCTTTGCTGCCAGCGTTAAAGGTACCTGCTTGAGTAAAGAGTTGTTTCAGAATTTTCTAAATGCTCCCTAAATTTGAATAGCCTTTTAAATCTGGTTTCCCCGTTCTTGCAACTTGAAAATACATTTCAGATATTTTAAGTCATCAAAATTTTATTTCTAAAGTAGTTAGAAATGGCAAGAAGAGACCTCTAAAAAATAAGTATGCCAAACACTGTGAATGGTGTGGTACCATTTGTTCAGAGCGGCTTGAGTACATACCTAGAACCTGGTGGGTAAATAACACTTCTGGGAGAAGGAGTAAAATTAAGAAGTGTTTCTTTGGGTGGAGGGGCAGATCCTGTAAGAGATTCTGTGCTAAGACAAGGGTCTGTATTCTTCTAGACGGCCCTGCGGAAGCGCCCGTGACCAATGGGAGCGCAGGCACGGCGCCGGCCCTCAGCGATGATCTGGACATCTTTGGACCAATGATTTCTAATCCTCTGCCCGCAACTGTCATGCCTCCGGCTCAGGTATGTGATGAGTACATGCTCTTGCCTGGCCACTGGTTGTTCCTAAGTGATACACTTGGTTCGCTTCTAGTGGTGAGTGCACAATAAGTGTCATATCAAAACATGTTTAATATTATTAGTCTTAATAAGACTAGATAGTTTGTATTCAGACTACCTGTACAGAGCAGATATGACTCAGTTTTTTCTACAGAAATGTTTCTAAACAATTATGCTAGGCCCGGCGTGACTTTGGACAAGGCCATAGGGTGTCTGATACTGTGGCTTTCAAAGCAACAGTGTACTTGGCATTATGAGCCAGAAAAGCCATGTCAGTGTAGCATTCCAGGGCGCGGCAGTGCTATCTGTTGGGCTTCCGCATTCACTGAGGTCCAGGTTGCTTTGCATGCACATGAGAATCGACCTCTCCCCTGAGGTGTGCCTCATGTGCTCTGCTCCCTATTGTAGCAGCGAGTGGAGCAGGGCTCATATTGTTCAACTCCAGTGGGTGGGTGCAGAGCTCCTTACGAGGAGAGCAGGTGCTCCGATGGCACCTGGTAGGACCACGGGTAGAGTGCGCAGGCCCAGTCTCCTCCTCTCTTGGGGACATTTGGTGAGCAGTTACTGTTCGTTGAAATTGTTGTGTTGCACAGCTCTAATGCCAGCGGTCAGGAGGGCAAGCCAGGAGGATCACAGCAAGTTGGAGGCCAGTCTGAGCTAGTTTTAAGGCCAGCCTGAACTAGGCAGTGAGATGCTGTCTCAAACCGTAAACTGCACATGAAGATTAAAATCAGGTACATTTAAGAAATAGCACTTTTGGGGGCGGGGGAGATAGCTCAGTGGAATAAGCACCTGCCTGGCAAGCACAGGATCCTTAGTTTAATCCCTGGTACTGGAAAAAAGCACTTCTGAAAATGAAGCATACAGACTTTTACACAGTGTATAATTTACTAATTTTGGTGGCTATTCAGTATATGAAATTGAGCTTAAACTAGTTTGAACACCAAGCTTATGAACTACTCTGAAGCCTGTTCTTTCACTCATGGTAATTTTCTTTCAAGTGCATATAAATTCTAGTGAAAGCCTTGCTGCTTCATGAGTATGACGTAGGTTGATTTCAACATCCTCAGTGTGGGCCGAGAAGCCCCCAGCCTGCTCGTGGCGGGCATGGCCACAGCTCCTCTCTTGTTTGCGGTCTCGGTATCCTGTGCAGAGACCAGATTGAGGGCTGAGGCCTGTTGGGGTTTAGCTGTGGGTCCTAGAAGGTCAGCTCTTTGATGGGCCTCACAGCTTTGAAATTTGAAGTCCCAGGCCAGCATCATTCTCCTCCCATCCTGGCAGATAGAGCACGAAAAATAAGGGACATGCGTGTGCTTGCTGGCTGTGCTGCATGAGGTTGTCCTTTCAGACTGTCAGACACCCATGTTAAGGTGGGTGTTCCATGGTGTCTGCCTTCCTCAGAGAAAACTGACATGATGATCAGGTCATGGGAAGATTGGGCTGCTCCTGTGTGAAACTGGGATTTTAGTTTTGGCAATCATTTTGGCTTTTCCTGTGCTTATCTACAGGGAAAGGCCTCCACCATGTTGAACAAATTCTTACAATGAATAGACTCTTAACATGAGGAAAAAGATCAGTTACTGAGTTAGCTGCTTCAGTATTGAATAGGAACAGTAAGTACTGGGCAGGGAGCCACCCACAGTGTCCCCCAAGTGTGCAGCGTGCACAAGGGCACAGTGTTAGGGCACAAGCCAGGGCCCCAGCCCGCCTGCCTGCCGTCCTGCCTGCCTAGCCCATGAGCCGCATATTCATGGGGCACTGAGGTAGCTTATGCAGGGGCTGTGGTATTTGTTACATCTGATACTGAAATTTTGCAAATGGAAGTGTCTTATTCTTGACCAGCCATTATAGGCTGAAAGTGATTGTTCTGCCTTGTTTGTGAGCAACATATGTTTGGGTGTCATTGTTTAGTGTTCTGGCCCCAGGGGTTTATTTGGACTTGTTTGCCACTTACCTTCATGTGTAGTTTAGTAAGTGGCTTTGACTAGTCTTCATAGAATTCTTTGAAAACATGTAATGGCTGCAGAGATCATGAGGTAGGATCAGTGTGTGCAGTACTGATGCAAGACAGTAAACAATGTTTATATTAAAGTGCTACATTGGTGTTCATTTACCTCCACATGGAGCGCAGGATATGCAGTCGCTTTAATGTTGTACAACTGACTGAAAGCTAGGTGCGCTGGCTCACAGGGCTGCAAGCCTAAACATAGTGACCTCAAGACCAGCCTGGACTACACAGGTGATGAGGCTGTCTCAGAACCCAGCACCTGACTTGTGGGCTGCGTGAGAACGTGGCAGCCTCCCCTCCGCAGAGCCCAGCTCCTCACCAACCACTGCAGGACCTTCTCGCAGTCTGCCGGTTGTGGGGATCCCTGCGCCCTCCCCCGTACTGGGGATTGAGCCCAGGGCCTTCACACCGAGCTACATTGACATTTATTTTGAGACAAGGTCTCACTAAGTCATTCAGGCTAGGCTTGAACTTGATGATGCTCCTACCTCAGCCTCCCAGAGAGCTGAAATTAGAGGTGTGCGCCAGCACTCCCAGCTTAGAAATGGTCTTTATTCTGAGATACCAGCTCCTCGAAGCAGTTGTCATGATCCCGAGGCAGTGTCCCCACAGCTGTTGGACCCACTGTCGGACCTCAATTCTGAGGCGTACAAAACCGTGCCAGCCCAGCTGGTAATGTAGTTTATTGTGAAAGTGCGTTATTTCTCTTTTACATTAATAGAAGCATTATAGCTCACCCTCAGTGCTTTTGATTGGCTTGTGGATAGTCATCTGCAGTTCACTACTTCACCTCAGGAGGCTTTAGTGTGTGGAATTCAGCAGCTTACTTTGGTGTTCACCTTAGGGGAGCTCCTCTGTGCCAGCAGCAGCAGCCTTGTCTACGGTAACATCCGGGGATCTGGATCTGTTCACTGAGCAAACTGCAAAACCCGAAGAAGTAGCGAAGAAACAGCTCTCCAAAGACTCTATCCTATCTCTGTATGGCACAGGAACCGTCCAGCAGCAGAGCACTCCGGGTAATGCATTCTTAAGTGCGCTTTCAGTGAGCTTCCAGGCCTCGCTGGAAGTACTTCGGGACTGTGACAGCATCTGCCATATTTCTTACCTGCTTTCCTAGAGCAACAGCTGCCATGGTTGTTGTATGTCACACAAGTATGAAACGGAAACGCAACAGTCACAAAGCTTTATTCGTGGAGAATTAACAAGCTGTTCACACACCGCTTAACATTGAATCACAAGCATATAGGACATGAATGATCTTTAAAGAATTACTGAAATTTGATTTACATGTAATTTTTGACAGTATATTTCTTCTGTAGGGAAACACTAGCAATCTGAGTTATCACATGGGTTCCAAAACCTTTGACACTTTTAGTCCTTACAGTGAAGCACAGCAGAAGAGGTGTTCACTTTGAACCTTTCAGACCATTTCCTCTAAAAGCTCGAGCAGCGTCTCACTCGTGTGCTGAGCTGAGAGTCGGTCTTTGCTTTCCCGTGTGCGCGGGTCACCATACACCCACTCCATCCGGGGAGGACACCCTATGAGGCCAAGGCCTGAAAGGTAAAGTTATTTTCAGGGTCATAGCTGATTTCCTAGCATTTTAGAAATGCCCAGATCTGAAAGTGACAGATAGGTTACTCTATGTGGTAGGAAAAGCCAGATTGTGGTGAACTTGTTTAGCGTCAGGAAGGCGTGGCTGTGTGCAGCAGGTCCAGTGCTGCCTTCAGCGTGCTTTTCCTTGTTCTTACCTTGCAGGTGTGTTCATGGGACCCACAAATATGCCGTTTACCTCGCAAGCACCAAGCACATTTCAGGGATTCCCGTCCATGGGCGTACCTGTGCCTGCAGCTCCTGGCCTCCTGGGAACCGTCATGGCACCAAGCACAAGCATGATGGTGGGCGTACCCGTGCCCAACGGGTTCATGGGAAGTGCACAGACTGGTGTGATGCCCCTGTCTCAGGCTGCCATCGGCCCCCCAGGAGGAATGGTGGGACACGTGGGTGCACCGCAGGGCAAGCTTGGCCTGCAGCAAGCTCCGCAGCCCCCATGGGGCCTCGCACAGGTAGGGAGGGCCCTGGTGTGCAGCTTCTCCCCCTGCTGTCTTGAAATCAGATGCTCCAGATTTAGGGTATGGAATGCCTAGTATGTATAAAGTCAAGGTGTTACAAATATTAGGAAATTATAATTACAAAGACTAATGATTTGTTATCATCCCTGCTCTGAAAAGAAATTCTGGAGGTGTTTTTTTCTGATTTTGGACTGTAACACAACTGTGATGTAAACGTACTTAACATGCGAGGCTCCTGATACCCGAGCATCGTGCTGTAGCCAGTCCTCTGCTCACGTCTGTGGAGCCCACACATGCCAGCCTGCCCACTAATATGGGGAGGCTCATTTGGGCACTGTTCATAAGTGAGAAGAAACACCAGCCTCGTAGCCTTAAAGCACAGTATTAGGAGCAGGTACGCCCCTCTTCCCTGTCACAGAACTGTGGCCTCTGGACTTGGAGAGATTTCTTGTTCAGACCTCCAGTTGAGGTTTGAAAACAGTTGTATTTCCTTTTACAATCCTGCTGTCTTTGATGTTTAACATATGATGCGCTGGCTCAAGAACCCTACAAGGTATGCAAGTCTCTGACTCTCAGACATCACCTCATCCGATAAAGTTTTCTTTTTACCAAAGTTAGAACACAGAGTAGCATTTGGACGCTCTTGGGAGCCTTCCTGCGGCTCCTGACGGAGGCTCTTAGGCGCCACTCCTTCAGCAGGATCCTTTTATCCCGTGACTGCTCCAAGTCCTGTCTCTGCAGTCGTGGTATAAAAGAATGGCACTGCACAGTACCTTTGGGAAGGTCAAAAGTTATTAAGCACCAAGCACCAGTGAGCGCTCTGCTGTGGCTAGCATGGGGTCGAGGAGAGCCAGGAGGAATTGCCCTCACTCGCTTCTGCAGCCCGGGCTCCGAGAACGGGCTCTGTGCCATCGGCCACTCACGGCTCAGCAGTTGCGAAGGCAGTACTACACTCACCCTGAGCAGGGCTTTTGAACTCTTTCTGTACTTTATGGCAAATCTTGCCTTGCCTTCTCCTAGTGCCAGGGTGAAGTAAGACACCACAGGGTCAGTTAGGAACTGATCTAAGTCCCTCTCTGGAAGAAAAACAGCATGCAGTGGCAAATGCTTGTGGCCACAGCCAGGCAGAAGGGTCATAGGTTCAAGGCTAGCCTGGGCAACTCAACAAGATCCTGTCTCAAAAATTTTTAGGAAGGGGGTGAAGATGCAGCTCAGTGACAGAGTGCTTGCCTGGCATGTGCAGAGTGCTGGCTTTAATCCAGTATACCCCTGCCTCCCACAAATTAAATAATCGTTCACTTTATAGCATATGATGAAAATTATTATGAGCTCTTACTGTACTGTTTCAACACAAAAAGAATGATTGCTCTACAACATACATAGAGCCATTGACAGAAAATTATAATTATCATACAAAGTTTACAGAATAACTATCCTTAACAGGGCAGTATTTTAATATATAATTGAAAGATTAATGGATATTCATATACCTGGCTAAAAATTGAAAGACTGCTTGGGTATTTTTCCAGTGTGGTTAATCTTTAGAGATTAAAAAATGCATATAGAAACTGGGCAAATACAATTTGATTGAGATTACTATAGAAGAAAATAAGGAATCAAAGTAGACACTGCTATCCATGAAGAAGTATTTTTATGTTCTTATGTTCTGCTTTTGTCCCAGTGCCCTGATTAATCTTCCCTTTAATGACAAAGCGCCCAGTCACCTGTCACGCTAAGCCTTCCTGTGCTCCACAGGTGAACCAGCGCATGGCGGGCATGAGTGTGGGCACCGGCGTGGGCAGCGCTGGCCCCGCGGCGGGCTTTGGCCAGACGCCCAGCACCGCGGCAGGCTGGCCAGCCAGCGCTTCAGGCCAGACGCTGAGCACGCAGCTGTGGAAGTGAGCCACCGGCAGAGCCTCGTCTGGACGGACACCTGACATTCCTTGCTCCACGCGCCCCGCGCCCGTTTCCTCATGTACATACCGCTGTTTCTTTCTTCCCCATCTGTTCATATGAGAACGACCTGATTGACCGTGTTGGTCTGTGCCGATTCCGTTTTGATGTGGTGAAAGGCAGGTTGAGAAACCACTTGCTATCAAGGGCAGCTTTGCTGGTCTTCCGGTGTCATAGGCCACAGCGTATGAGGAGCTGCCTGGTCAGCCTGCATAAGCAGTTTTACTCTGAATAAAATTATAGCTCTCATGTTTGCATATAAGGGAAGTAGTTAGGCTAGTTATACCTCTAACAGTATAAACCCCACCCCACATTAGCCAGTAATCTGTAGGAAGGTACTGTATGATCAAATGTTTAATCATATAAATAGAATGTAAATGTATCACTGAGCGCTGTTTTCTAGTGTATCGCGATTCTTTTTATTTCGTCATTCACCTCACTGTGCTGTGGTTACGATGTGCTTAACAGGGAACGTGGTTAGAGAGAGGAAGATAAACCTGGCTGTTGTTACAGAACTTAGTGAATGTGTAGAGAGTCGGATTCTGTCGGCCTCTTGAGTTTGCATTGCTATTGTACATAGCGCTAGAACACGAAGACCTTTTGTGCACTATATGCAAACAGGGTAACTAACACAAAGCTATTTGCAGTCCTCGAAGGTATGTCCAGGTTTATGACAGCAATTGTGTTTACATTTTATGGTGCCTAGTATTGCCCAGATGTTATTTCCCCCTATTAAACAGATGAATCCATACACCATCTTGTGAGGTTTTGGTGTTCTTCCCCCTACACAGTGCAGTATATGTGTTCTTCCCACTAACTTCCAAAGGTTCATGCTGCAAAATCAGAATTGAGACTGTGGAGCTGGCAAAATACTCATCATTGGTTTCTAAAACCTTTTCACAATTCTGTCAGTTATAAGGCCAAATGGGGAAAGGAAGAGTGAGAGACACTTGGAATGACACTGTGCAATGTCACTGCTATATTGTACAGACACTTGGAATGACATTGCGCAATGTCACTGCTGTACAGGATCTTCCAAGTAAGCTGTGGAGAAAACATGCAGAACAGAGAGGATAAGACACACTCTGCGCCATCCAGTTAGCGCTGGCTAGCTGGAGGTGCTGCTGGAGCACACCACTGTTGGGGACAGCGCAGGCGGCTGTAGTGACGTACAGCCAGCAATACCTGAAGGCTCTGCAGCCCGAGCCCAGCTGCCTCCCACCGCCGCTGCTGTGGCCTACACCTCGATGTTCACTGTGTCCAGGCGGTACTTGGGCTCATTGGCCAGGTTGACCTTCTCTGTCCGCGTGTGCCACACAAGGACCTGGGGAGGGGGACAGTTAGGGTAGTCACACTTGGTGCTGACCCGCAGGGCCAAGCCGCACAAGCGAAGGGCATACCTTGGTGCAGTTGTTTGCTTTTGGCTCCAGTTCCTCCACGGTGGTTATCTGTTTCAGAAAGTCAGATTCTTGCATCCCTGGCTGGGACCCACGACGCTTAAATACAGCTTTTGGATTGGACAGGATAACTTGAAGACTTACAGCAAATCCTTCAAGAAAAGAAAAAAGACTAAGTATTGACATGCATCTAGTTCTTTTCTACAGTATCGGTCACATCAGAAAGTCTGTGCAGCACCTCCTGTATGTATAAGGGCCTGGCTTACCAACCGAGCAGGGCATCTCCGGCATCCGAGGCCAGGTGTTGGTCAGTCACTGCAGCAGTACACAGTGAGGGCTAAGACGATGTCCCAGTGCTGACTGGAAATGGCCTGTTCATAGGGCTGGCTTCTGTAGGCCCCCATTTCACACCTTCCTGGACCCTGAGCCTGAGTGAGACTGAGCCCTACCGCTGCCAGCATCTGTCCTCTAGTAAAACCAGCACTGCCTTCCTGTGTAAGGTCAGTCACCTGGCACACGATGACCACTTGCTTCCATCTGAGGCGGGGGTAAGGAACAGTGCTAAGCCACTGGATAAACGTGGTTTTGGTTTTTCTATCTTGAGTCAGTCCCCATCCCAGCAAAAGGCTCCCGGGTACAGCTCCATGATGCCTGACATGCACCTGGCCCTGGGTTGATCCCTAGCCCCGACCCCCACCCAAATACATGAATTCTCTTCCGTGATTTGACCACAGAGCCTTAATCCATAACCTGCAGTTTAACTGTACTTAAGCCTGAGACATGAAAGAAGTCTACCAGATATAAGAACAGCCACGACAGAACCGTGCCACGTGCCAGGTGCCTCATGGGACCCAGCTGCCCCTGGGAAGTGGACATTCAACTATGCACAAACACAGCCTGGCACAGCAGGCTCTGCGTGATGCAAAACACGAGCGAGGTAGTGTCAGGATGCTCAGAGCCCCACCGAGCCTGCAGGGAGGCCGCATGGTCAGAGAGAAAGGCTGAGTTTCTGCCCAGGGCTGGCCAAGTTGCCCAGCCTTGCTTGGTCTTCTGATTTCCACATTTTTGGTATGGAGTCCTCCACGGAGTGCAGGCACTGTGCGAATCGATGAGGACCGTCTGTCCTTTAAGACACACTGGACACCAAGTCCCCAGGGAAGGGTCCTGCCGATAGGCAGTGCTGGGCTTTGGGGAGCACAGCTGGGCCATGTGCCCGTCACCTCACTCTGAGAAGAGCTTGGGAGTCCTCCTCAGGCACAGCTAAGACAGAACTGACTGTAACAGAAAGCTACAGGTTCAGGTGAACCCCAAAGTACCTTTTCGCAAATGCCCAGATGTTAGTGCTGAGTTCTCACCTGCTTTCGTCATGCAGGTCATGTTCCAGACAACCCACGATAAATGAGAATCATGAAGAAGCCACATTACATTTTAGTATTTATATATATTTTAAGGCTTTATAAACCGCTCCCACATTCTTAGAAACCTTCCTCCTATTAAAAATACAATGTTCTTAACCATTTTCAAAATGTTGAAGAAAATTTTGAAAATATGTATACTGTATGGTATTACAAAATGCCATGATGCAGTGAAAAATCCACGGTAATTTAGATGATTATTATTATTTTTTAAATGTATTTAGTTGTTACAGGGTTTCACTCCACAGCTCGGACTCCTAGTGATCTTTCTGTTTTTAGCCTCCCCAGCGCTGGGATTACAGGCATGTACCACCACGCCTGGGCTGGCACGGCATGTGGTGCCAGGGATTGAACTGCAGTCCCTGCTCTTGCCTAAGCTTGCCTACACAGGCACTTTAGCCTGCTGAGCTATCTTGCTGGCTCATAGATTTTCTGAAAACCCACAAAACAGTGAGTCCGTGAAAGTTGAACCATGGAATAGCTAGGGAGTACTGTGAATGTGTTTCATCTTTTTAAATGTTTTTATAGTTTTATGTAAAATTTCTCATCATAAAATAAGCTCCAGAAAAATGTTCATTTCTTTATAGTTTATAAATACACAAACTAGAAGTTTGCCTAAATTAATATTACATATTTATTAAGGCAAGGAACTATGAAAAAATACTTGTTCTGCTTAAAGCATACTTGGAAATAAACACTGTACAAATTATTGCACATCTGAAAAGCACACCACGTACATTAAATGACTTGGGTCATAAACGTAGACTGGAAGACAGCACCAGTTTTCCTTGTAAAAATGTGCCACAGCTGGAGAGCTTTGGCTTCCTCACTTGGTACCTTTAGACCCAGACCCCCAAGCACCACCATGTAGGTTATTAAAACACATTTTCAGTACCTGAATTTCTTCCAGCATCATAATCAATGGCTTTTATGAGGCAGAAAGTACATACAGTGCCCTTTACACTTACCTACTTTGTATGGAACCCAGTCACCCCGTGGCATTTTAGGCCAACATGTGTTGAAGTTGGATTTGGAACTGGCAGGACAGAAAATGATGCTGACCCCATCTGCTCTTGGGTTTCTGTTTTTCGGTTTCTCCTGCCTGTCTGCTCATATGCTGGCTTGTTGGGAACATGACCGTGATTACAGCGCCTGCCAGCTGGGCTCTTCCCCCCATGGGAAGATGGTGTGAAAGTTTAAAAACTACTGAATTCTGTCCTGCAGTGCATGTCCTGCCTAGGACCCGTTTGGGAGAAGGAAAGACACAGCGCCCACAATGCCCAGCCCACAGGAAGTGGGGTCCCACAGGCAGTGGCCACCCAGCCCTTCAACCCTGGATGGAGACAGGAATTGAACCATCTCCATCACCTGTTGCTTTTTATGCAAATGAGTCAGCCCTTCTTGAGCAGATGGATGCTTCCAGTTTGTCATTTTGTTTTGAGAGTCTATGTAGTTTCAGATGATGGCCTTGCACTCGCCAAGTAGTGCAGGCTGGCCTGAACCTGCTGGGGTTACAGCAGCAGGAATATTCCTTACATGGAATATTCCTTACATGGCTTCAGGATACTGATTTTATTTCCCCATTCTCTCCATAACTGGGTGAAGAGGATCTAGATGGTGTAGAAATAACTGGGGAAAAGGTAAGAAACCACTGTTGTCCAATTTCCTTCATTTGCCCAAGATGAACACAGGGAGCCACTGGCTTGAAGGCAGAGAACTTTGGTTGTTTTTTCTCTATTTTTGATCTTTAAAAAAAAAAAAAAAAATATATATATATATATATATATATATATATATATATTGCTTGTTTTTATTGCTTTTTATAAATATCTGGTGAGTATGAACATTACTTTTAGTTGTTCAGGTCTTGTTTTTTTCCTCTTGTCTTCAGCAAATTCCTAAGGCTTGAGTGGTCTTGCTTTATCCCTCAGCCTTGTGTCTACTCTTTTTCTCTTCTTTCATTTCTGTTTTTGTTTCCCTTTAAATTTTCTCCCCTTTCGGTAAAACTGCTCGATTGAGTGGCTATTTACTGTATAGTGTTCTGATTTGTCTTAGATTTTGTTAAACAACTATGCCTTATTTTTCTTATTGCTGAGACAAAATACCCAACACCCAAAGTTAAAGGCAGAAAGGTTTATTTAGCTCACAGTTAAGAGGTTTCCATTCATGTTCAGCTGGCTCCAAGCAGGGTGGCAGCTGGCTCCAAGCGGAGTGGTACCTGGCAGAGGGGCAACCAGTGGCAGTGGAGGACAGCAAAAGCAATGACCAAGGGACAGAGCACACACCTCTTCCCCTCACAGTGTATGCAGGCTGCCCTTGCTAAGGCAGGTGCAGCACTCACACCTTTCATCTCAGCATTGGACCATGAAAAGCCCACCCCCCAAGACCTCATGAGGCTTTGAGGGGGCATCCACACACAAGCCATAACAAACTATAAATCTTGTATCTGGAATTAAAGGTGGAAAATTATTAGTTATCGCAGTTTGTCCCTTTTTTTTTTTTTTTTTTTAGTTTTTGAGATGGGTCTTGCTCTAATTCACACTCGCCTTTCTACATAGCTGAGGTTGGCCTTGAACTCTGAGCAGACCTCCTGCCTCAGCCTGCCAAGCACTGGGGTTACAGATGTGTGCCACCATGCCTGGCACTTCATTCTTCTAGACTGTGCTTGATGCCTCTGTTATTGCTAATCATGCTGCTTCAGTCAAGATGGCACAGTTCTTCTGATCAGTTGATCTTCCTTGTATGCCAATATGGCAATGGTCTGGGCTCATAAACAGCACCACAGTCCAGTGCCAAAGAACTTGGTACTAGGCCAAATAGGCAGCCACCTGTCATCCCTACTACATTGAAGAGGCGGGATCCTGGGATAGACCAAATGGCCCAAACCCAGCTGCCCCTGGAAGACATGTCTGAGCAGTAGTCACTTGTCTCAATACTGATAAAGCTGCTTACCACGTGCAAATAGAAGCCTCAACACAGAAAACAACAAAAATAATAGAAAATAGGAAAGCATGGATGCAGGATGCAGCCTCATTCAAGGCAAATCCAGGGGGCATGGAGGTGGAAGAAGCTACCAACCTAAAATTTCTAAAAGGATAAGAGTGGAAGGAACAGCTGCATGTGTCTCTGGCGCAACCAAAACAGAAATAAGTACATAGATAACTAAGGAGATGATTACCATAAGGAAGGAACTGGTTAGTGAATCCAGAGTAGAAATACTAAAAAAAAAAAAAAAAAAAAAAAAAAAAAGGGAGCTTACGAAAGACAGAGAAACCACAGATGCCCAGCAAAGGAAGGGACTAGATGTCATAAAACAGACTGAAATGTATTCAGGAAATAAAAAATTCTCAAAAGTACAATCGTACCTCAGTTCACAAACTCAGTTCTCTCCATGATTCTGGTCACAACACTGAACTGGATGAAAATCAAATCAAATGTCCACATAAGGTCTGAATCTGGTTCAGTTCTCTTCTCAAGTTTGTGACCAGAATTAAGTTCATGAACTGAAGCAATGTATAGGAAGGAAAATTAACCAGTGTAAAGATAAAACAGATCTAGAAGACATGGTTGTGGTTGACTATCATTAAATGAAAGTCTTTTAAAAAATGAAAGTCTTAAAATAGCAAGGAATCATCAAAAGAGTCCAACAGCTACTAGATGATACAAAAGGAGGATATGAGATTAATTAGAATCAATAAGAAAGACAAGATAGCACAAAGGCCATAAAAAACTTGTTC